AACACAAAATAGAAGAGCTTAGAGAAAGCCAACACAATCACATGAACACCAAACACAAAAAGAAAAAACAAACGCAAAAAGATAAAACAAACAAATTTAACTTATTTTCTTAATGAGTAAAGCCAGACAACTCTTAAACTGGCTCAAATTTGGCTCACTTTCAAATTCATTTAAACCTCCATAAAACTTGCAAAACATTGTTTGATTCTTTGTATCTCTACTTTCTATGGGCTCCAACAACTTTGTCGTTGGCATCTATTAGATTTTATAGAGACACTAACCATAAGAGAATTTTCAAAGACAACAATTTTTCAAAAGATAAGAATAATCTCGTTTTCAACACATACATTAGCCAAATATAGCATAAACCTTTAACGAGAAATTATTAGTAGAGACCTCATGGTCTAATGAAACCCCCAAAAGCATACTCTAATGATGTTAACACATGCTAATGTGATTGGGCGGTACATTTTTTTTTAAGCCCAATGGAAATTATATTAAAGAGAAAATGGTACAGATAGGTTGTATGAGTGGACCCAAAAAGGCACCTAACCCACATGGTACAACACACAAAAAATAAAAAATAAAAACCCAAAAATAGATGGTACATATAAGATCAATCGGGAAGACCCAATTTAATTATGCCTCTGCCTCTAGTTCTCGGAAGGGAACCAGCTAGTAAATTGGTTAGGTTCATACCATTGCCCGAAGTAACCAAAGTATCATCCATTAGATTCCTTAGTTCATGTAAATCTTCATTCTTCTTCTTCCTTCTGAAAGTGTAGACCTGTCATTCCTCATCTGAAAATTGTTGTTCATTCGTATGAGGTGGCAATGCTGCAGTAGAAAGATTGTCAACAGTTGTACCCACAAAAGGTTCAAGTGTGTGTGAGGTATGAGTTGTTGCCTCTACTCCTAATACTTCCCAAAGATGGGGAGCTGCAAGGTTCTCCTGATTATCAGTCAATGTAAGTAGGGGTCCTTCAGTACTGTTTTCAATAGGGTTTTGCTCCGCAGGGCCATCCAGCTTCTCCTCAATCACAGAAACAGTATTTTTAGGGGGGAGGGTCCACAGAGGAAATTAAATCAGACATCAAATCCTGTCCTGTGGTAGTTTTCACTCCAGGTGGAACAGATATGTCCAGAGCTATAAGGTTATATTCATCCTTATTCACTTGATCTTTAGATTTCAAATTAGGATGAAGCTTATGGCATTTATCAAGGATATGCCCGAACATCTTACAATGAGGTTTATGCTCCATGACGATTTGTTGCCAATATCTATTATGAGTTGTGTCCAACCAGACTTCAATAAAATCATGTAAAGTAATATCTCTTTTCACAAGTATTCTGGCCAGAGAAGATCTGATTAGGTTGAAAGTGGGTAGATCTAGCTTCATAGGGTCTCCAAGCATGGCCCCAATAGAGTAAAGAACCTGATGATGAAAAAAGTACAGCTTGAGACGAGATAGATTAAACCATACCAGTACAGTAGGAGATTTTTAATGATTGGGTGGTGCATAGTACTATACAATATAACAGTTTTATTAAAAGCTATATATAGCATAGAGTTTTAATAAAATGAAAGTTTCCTATATGCAAAATTCTAAAAAAAACATTGCTAAACAAAACAACTAAAGAAGCAATATCTTCTCTTAGATTCTTATAATGAATTCATGACTCATGATGTACAATTATTTATGCATCATTAGAAAATCCATATAATCAATTACAAATATTGATGCAAGTATGCAAATTAGAAACTTTCAAAATCAAATGAGAATTCCCAAATTTCAATTTTATCAAACTACAAGTGAAATGAATGTTTTGATGAGATAAACTTAACAACACCAAAAATAACTGCTCTCACAACCATCACACACAAGCGCACCTCACATCCACCACAAACCCACACAAAAGTGCACCTCACATCCACCACAAACCCACAAACCCACACACCCAAAACCTGCAGAGCACGCCCAAGCCAGCATAAACTGCTCTCACGACCACCATACACAACCACAACTAACATCCACTACCAACCCACACACCCAAGGCCAGCAGAGCACACCCAAGCCACCCTAAACACCACTCACAACCACCACACACAAGTGCACCTCACATCGACCACCAACCCACACACCCAAGGTCTGCAGAGCACACCGAAGCACCATAAACTGCTTTCACAACCACCACAAACAAGCACAGGTAATATCCACCACCAAGACACACACCCAAGGCCAGTAGAGCACACCCAAGCCACCATATACACCACTCACAGCCACCCCACACAAGCGCACCTCACGTACACCATCAAACCACACACCCAAGGCCTATATAGCACACCCAAACCACCGTAAACTACTCTCATAGACACCACACACAAGCATAGGTAACATTCACCACCACCCCACACACAATTCTGGTAGCCACACGTTTGCCTGGTAGAAAAGGAAACACAAGCAGGGAGAGCTAGAAGATCATCCGGTAATAGAGCCAGCAACGATGGAGCTAATAAAGGAGCAAAAAATGAATCAAATGCAATAAGAAAAATGTAGAAGAGAACGCAAGCCAGATGCTTTGAATAAAAGCAACTTGTTGAAGTACATGGGCTTTTACATGTGCATGAATATATAAAAGCTACAATAAAATCAAGAAAACCTTATGATGAACAATGGATCGCTGACACTCATCAACCCAGAAGCAAGTCATGGACACCATCAAGTACTTAACAAAGTCCCAAAGAAGATCGCAACTCTTTAACGTCTGTTGTTTAATTTTTGTGGTTCTTTTACAAGAAATATGCATAGCTCCAATTTCTACTATATCAAATGTAAATTAATGAGGGATGCTGCTACATCCTTCCAAATTTTAGCATCTCCAAATTTTAGCATTCATTGAACCCCCTTCTATTTCATTCATGTTGAGATAAACTTGAGGAAAAACAAGCCTAACACAAGAAAGCATGCCTTTGACTCTTTTTATTATACACTGATGGTATCTTTTTCAAGCTTAGCCACAATGGCATAATCAAAGATTACCTAAACAGCATATCGAAGTAGCATTAAGCTAGTTTATCAGCCACGCCTAAAAGAATTAAACAACAAATACAACGCTCAATATGCTTCAACATTCACCTCAATAGCATAAGCCAGTTTATCATCCACGCTTAAGAGCATTAAACAACAAATACAACACTCATTATGCTTCAACATTCACCTCAATAGCATGCACAAGAAATACTCGGTATCATAAACTAATCTTCTTCAAATGGTTAACAATTAAATCTGATAGGCACTCATATCACATTATAACAAATTATCCAACATTCGCTATAGTTAAATGCAGAGGGCAATGAAAGGAAAACCATGGGATCGGAAACTGCAGAGAGCAAACAAGAGCAATGAAAGAAAAACCACAGAAATTAAACATATAGGAATAATATTGTGAGATACCAGATGAACGATAGGAATAAGCAAGGGAGAAGAGAGCGAGAGCGGGGATGGAAAACCAGCTTAGGGCAAGTGTGGTCACACGAGGGAGAAGGGGACTGGAGGTATTTCCTAATCAAGCGCAGCTCTTCGAAGCGGGATGCAGGGTCGATCCCGCGGCACGCTTCCTTTAATAAAACCTAAACATCGTTTTCAAAACGCCAGTGGAACGCTTGAACCAAATGGTATTTCGGCATTTTCAAAAAGTCAAACGCAGCAATAAGCTGCCCCAAATGCACCCTAAGTATTTAATGATATAGATTAGGCTAAAATGATCAATAGTCGAAGATCCACGTTGAGATATTATATGTATGTTCATGAAAATCCAATCACACAGAGAAGCCGAAAGTTGAATGTAGTGGCAAAAGATAGTACCAAAGTAGAATATTGACCTATGATTAATGGAGTGTGTGAGATGCTTTGAGTGGAAAGAATTCTCGAAGAACTAAAAATAGTGGCAAATGTAACAATGAAGTTATATTATGATAACAAAACAATCATTACCATTGCACAAAACTCAAAAAAAAAATGATGGAACAAAGTATGTAAGGAATAACTAACACTTAATAAAAGAGAAGACTGATTGTGAGGCTATTTATATGCCCATCATTCCCACTACGAAAAAGATAGTTGATATTCTTATCAAAAGGTTATTTAAGCCTCATTTTAAACTCCTTGTGGAGAAATTTGGCATGATTTAGATATATATGCAACAACTTGAGATAGGCTGTTAGAATTATAGGATTTAACTAAGAAATAATTGATTTATATTACTTTTGCTGATAAAGTAGTAATATTCTATGCTACAAGTAGGAGAGATCAAATAGTTGGTAATATTTTTATTAGTTTGTTCCTATTTATACCCTAGTGTTAGGTTATTATTGAAATCAATCGATGAATAATTCATCACGATGACCTAAAAATGCAGCTTCCCTGACTTAACCACTACTATACACCAAAATTCATGCATTAAAAATCAAGATTGCAATCTCCAATGGAATGCCATCTTGAAAAGGCATATTAGAGCAAGAAAATCAATGCAGCCATTATGTGTAATTATTGAAATTATTTCATTTCCACCTTCACACTCCTATATATTAATTTTAATTTATGAGTTGTTAGCCACAATTGAACTCGGTAAACCTCACTTTTATTGACTTGTAGACCTCTATAAATAATGTAAAACTTAATGAAAATTTTAAGCCATTATTCCGCATTCTCGTATAAAACTTATGTCAAATCTTCATTAAATTTCATGTACATGCATTAATGCCCACTTAAAAGATATGGTAACACAAAATAAAACAAAGATAGGTTACAAGTGCTCGAATGCAGGAATG